AGATAATAAAGGAGGAAAGTGTAGATGTGCCAATTACGTTGGTATAGTTAGAGGATACTCCAAATTGTAAGGATTAGGCCATGGTGAAATACGATTGAGTAATTGACAAGTGATCGATAGTGTATGCATCAGCGGTTGCGCAATACATTGAACGGGAGCCGGCATATGAGTCAGAATGCGCATGATAGTAACTCTTATTAAAGACACGGGGTGTGCGATAGACTTACCTCTACGTGAGGCACCCTGGGCAATGTATACCAAAACGGCAAAAAAAGTCTGTTAATCGGCAGTTGGCTTCTGACTTCAAACAACCACCACCCCACTGTATGTCATATTCGACTACTTTCACAGTACTCATATCACCTCTGTCTGTCTCTTTTACATCGTTGAGGCACTCTTTTATCCCCCCCCCCTTTCGACTTGTTTCACTTTGATGTTCCTTTCCCTCCGTGAAGCCTGAAGTCAACTAAAGGGTTAATGATAACTACCAAAACGCCTGCCATTTGATATAAGTAAATTATTGAAAACACGATGCTGAATCAGGTCCAACCTAAAGAAATAAACCATTAATTTTCCTATCGCAACCACTTTTTAATGTCATTTTTTTATTTTGAAATAGAAAAAGAAGCGTGTGGACTAATGATAGATAGTATGAAAGTAAAAAATCCTCACATACGTAAGACAAATTTTAAGCTAAACATAAAGTGAAATAGAGACGAAAAGGACTTGCGCTTGAGTCTAATTGGGGAATCGTTAGGTGAAGTTGGAGCAGGAGGTTTCAGTTTACAGGAGAAGACCAGCAGGTACAGCATCCAAATATCCACCTTCCAGGGGCTTCTTTGCTATCTTTGTAGTTCCCATAAAACGATGTGAGTGGAGGACAAAATTGGCTAAACGTTCATCATTTAGGGATTTAGAGAGCAAACTTAGAGCGTCTTTGCTTGAAATATACGCTAGAAAAGGAAGGTGACGATTTATGAAAGGAATTTTGAAACTGGAATCGACTTACATTCAACAGGACATCGTTGAAAATAGGATAAAAATATGCCTAGTGTTGGGAAAAGTGGATTATCAGGCTTCACTTTAAAATTAAAGTTAAATGTGAAATTTCGATTGCCCTGTCTAAATCAAGCTCAGAAATTCTTTTAAATGGGCTTCCCAATTTGGTGTTGATAAGTGTCAATTGAAAGATGGTGCCTTGAAGTATTTCACACCCCTCGTTTAAAACTAAATTAACTAGCGTAGCCGACCATTAAAACCAGTGCATTTCTCGGAAATGCTTAAAACGACTAGCAAAACAAATTAACATATCAAGGGGAATTGAATAAGACTAAGTAGTAATTGCTTTCACTTTAACAGACTTGAAAACAGGTGACGTAGAAACGGGCGACATTCAACAATAATAGACTGTGGGAGAAGAAATCACCTTGATTATTGACCTAGCTGCCTGGTTTGATAGTGAGCATTACTCATTGAAATTAGAAGAAAGTTTAATAACCTCCATGACCCAAATACCATTGGGCATAAAGACCCAAAGATGCTAGAACCCAAAAAGCCCTCATTCAACTAATACTAGGTTTGAGGGTGTTTATATAATTTCATTATCATTAGCCATCATGTAACCACCTTCTTAGTTATTCCTCTGAAAGCAGTTATCCAAAAAACGATGGGTGATGACTTCTAATATCAACGAATTTCATATACTATTTGTCTATATACGTGCTGAATTATTATGTAAAATTGATTTATATGGAACGATAATAATTTCATGGGGTGTGCGATAGACTTACCTCCACGTGGTACACCCTGGGCAACGTAAACTCATACGACAAAAAGGTCTATTAACTGGCAGTTGACTTCTGACTTCAAACTACCCTCACCCCATTGTATGTCATATTCTACTACTTTCACAGTACTCACCTCACCTTTTCTACTTTTGTGTCTGTCTCTTTTACATATTTGAAACTCTCTTCTGTCCCCCCTCTCCCTCTCGACTTGTTTCACTTTGATATTCCTCCTCCTCTGTGAAGCCTGAAGTCAACTAAAGGGTTAATGATAGCTCTCCCATTTGATATAAATAAATAATAATGTCATTTCATGGTTTAGGAGACCTCAA